GGGGCCTGGGGCAAAAATTAGGTAAAATACTTATTAATTTAGCATGTACATTTTGACACAGTGCTCCTCTGTAAGACAGCTTTCAGACCCTTATCATTGTAGTTGATATGCATATTAAGTGGCGCATATTACCAAACAAATCTACAAAAACAACAACTGATATGCAAGGAACATGTGACCCTCACAACCTCTTAGGGTCTGTGGCCCCAGGGCGGTTAGCTCTCTTTTCCTGGTTGGCAGTCTAGCTTTGCACTCTCCATACTGTAAACTGACTCAGCATTGAAGCGGATGAGAATTACCTGCTACATTCAGGCTAGCAAACAAACCAACACCCACTAACATCTGGCTTTTGTCCTTGATGGGAAAGGTTCCATTCAGCATTCATTCCAGGGAAAAATGACTAATGCAGTTGTCATAGGTATTTATTGGCTCCAGCTCTTATTGCCTCAGATCGGCAGTAATTTAAAACATCACACTTGGGTGGATGCACTTATTTCCTGGCGCAGACGTCAGCCTCTGCAACTCTTTGTCATCTCAGCCACAAATTCCTTCCATCTCCGTCCAAGCAGCTCATGAGCATCATTTAAAATTAATCTGAGTTGGAAAGAGAGACTGAATAAGTAACAGAGATGGCCTCCATGCTGCTTTCTGCTGTTTACTAACCCTGTTCTCCTGCATGTTTGTTTGAATCCAGAAATTAAAAAAAATGTATGAAATATATTCATATAATATATTTGTCCACTGGCAATGGAAAAGAAGTCTATCACCTGTTTGTAGTGGGTGTTCCTGCATTTAAAAACCCTGCATATACCTGCAAATTTTGGTGGGGAAGTAGTGTATAGTTTATACAGTCATTGTTATGTGGAGACTTATTTTCTTTTTTCTTTTTATGTGAAGCATAAAGATCCTCGTTCAACTTCCCTCTCTATTCTCAGGTTCCGCACAGAGGTCAACTATGATGTCCTGGAGGTGCGGGATGGACGTTTTCCCTCCTCACCTCTAATTGGTAGTTACCAGGGTACCCAGGTTCCTCAGTTCCTCATAAGCACCTCCAACTTTCTGTATCTCCTCTTCTCGACCGACAAGAGCCACTCTGACATCGGCTTCCGCATTCGTTACGAAAGTAAGGCATTAGAGTTTATGAACTTGATAACACAAAGTCAGACCTACACCAGGATACAAAAGGGCACATTTACCCATGCTCCAAGGACCCTAAAGGAAATGAATATTACAGTACAGAGGCAGCAGCCATACGCCTTGTAAAGTGTGCTTTTAAAAGCTATTAAGTCTTGGTTGTAAATATAATCTCTGCAAGCTCTCAGTTTCACCGTGAAGCTGCTCTTATTAGAACACCTGTAATTAGAAAGTAAATAGGGTGAGATTGTTACGTCAGATATCCCTGACTTGACACACATTGCCACACACACACACACACACACACACACACACACACACACACACTTTTACCTTTCACTAGTCTTCACTCATGCTCTAAATCCAATTCTTAAAACAGTCCTACCCTGATTTCCACCTGTGTGGTTCACGCTGGTAACCTTTTAAACTTTTCTCTGCGATGAACCTCTGTAAAGTTTCAATAATTCACTACGAGCATTACTTAGGCAGAAACCATGCAAGCTGGAGTGGGACAGAGTACAGAAACTTCTCATTGGTTTATTCCTGTTAAAAAAAGGATGTTAGGGTAAATTATTTATTAGGATTGCTTTGGGAAAACAAACTGCCGCCTAACATTTCTTGACCTCCACTCCACCTTTTGGAAACAGGATATAAGCCCAAATTACACAGCAAAGCAGGTGGATTTTCATTATCTGTGTCTGTTAATCTTTTTTTATCTGTCTCTTTCTTGTCCCCTTCCTCTCCAGCCCTGCAGTTGCAGTCGGATCACTGCGTGGACCCTGGTATACCTGTCAACGGACAGCGGCACGGCAATGACTTCTACGTGGGCGCTTTGGTGACATTTAGCTGTGACGCGGGGTACACACTTAGTGACACAGAGCCCTTAGAATGTGAACCCAATTTTCAGTGGAGCCGCCCCCTGCCTAGCTGCGATGGTACGTTCCATAATATTGACCTAGAAATGAATAGTCTCTTGCCAGATTTCCTCCTATTCATAAATGGGATTAAAGCTAAATTCATTGTTGTATGTTATTCCAGACCAAACATGAGAAATGGTTTTGAGCACTTTGCTTCATGTTGCATCACATTTAAATTGCCCTATATTTCAGAGTTATTATAAAATCCATATAAGATGATAACGTTTCTTTCAACAACTCTTGTTTTAGACTTAAAAAAGTTTCTGCTTCATTTCATCATAAATGTTTTATATGTGCGGCCGTGAGCTTGCCCTTTGATGTTCCCCTTTTTCCTCATCTGTAAATGCTTTTATATTTAAGGACAGTATTGATTTCTGCCTACTCTGTAATGATATTGATGATACCACGCTCTCGTTTTTATGCTGTCTTGAAGGGCACCTCTTGTAAAAATGTATTTTGCCGCATTGTAAATGCACAGACAAGTTTCGTTTTTGGGGGGGATTTTATTTCCGTCCTCGTCCACTTTGTTTTGCCCTTTCTGATTTTGCATCTCTGCTCTCTTCTCATTTCTCTCCCTCATCCATCTCCCGCTGTTTCCACACGCCCTGTGTCGTCAGCATTGTGTGGAGGTTATATCCAGGGCAACTTTGGCACCATCCTGTCACCTGGCTTCCCAGACTTCTACCCACACAACCTGAACTGCACGTGGATAATCGAGACCTCCCATGGCAAAGGTTAGCAGAGAAATTCCGTGTCAACACATGCAGCAGTCAAATTCAATTTCCCTTACAATGTCATTTCCCCCTACTGAGTGGCCTTTTTATTTTGCCGAACAAGCTGTCTGTGAAAGACTGGAGCGCTTAGAGGCTGGCCTAGGGCTACAGTGCCACGGGATAATTCTCCAGTCATGTCAACTTTGGTAGAGCGCTCACATCAATTGACAAAGCCTTATTTGCAGATGCGCTCTCTGTGTGGGTGTAATGTGTTTGATAAGCAGTAGGGATGGAGGACAGGGAATTGATGCTGCATGCATTATAAAACTGAGAATATTGTGTTTCATATAAATACAAAGACTTCAGCCTGTTTTCATTGAACATGAGATTTCATTAGGCAATTAATTTTTTTCCTTACTCAAGGGGATACTTTGCAGATTTTCAACCAGATTTGTCTCCCAACAATGTGGGTAGTATGTGTAAATGAACTGTGGGAACCTTCCCTCCATCTTACCAGCTCCAAGATGCATTTTTCATCATCTGGTGGATTTTCGCTAGCTCTTGAGTTGTTGCTTAAACTACAGATAGTACATCCGCATTTTCTTATGCCCACTGCCAAAGAAGCAAAGAAGCAAATAAAGAAGAAGCAAAGAAGAAGAAAAGAAGCAGATAGAGAGAGAGCCGCCTCTCTCTCTTTCTCTTAAGCCCCTTTTACACTGCCAGATTTTCTGCGAATGTTGGGCCGTTTTGCCGGCAAGCTGCGAGCGTTTAGACACACATAGCCGGTTTGGTGAGTAGATCCGAGGAGCCCAGTTTTCCGCCTCGTAGGGTAAACATATTGGCGGAACCCTTTTAATTTAAACAGACCGAGGCGGCCTTCCGCAATGGGAGGAGCTGTTGAAGACTTGTGGGAGGAGCTGTTGATGACGCCGCACATACGAGCCACTGGCGGTGGATAAACAGGAAACAGCTGATAGCAGGAATTAGCGAGCAGCTAGAAGAAAGGGGGAAACGCAGACACTGTAAAGATGAGCAACTGGGGAGACAAAGAATTGCGCGCCCTCCTTGCCCTCACGAACGAAGAGGCCATTAACTGTCAGACAACGGGAACGGTGAATAACGGGCCGATTTAAGAGAGAATCGCTGCCTGACCAGCCGCGGCTTCCCTCCCACATCACTGGTTACGTCACACCCTGAGCTACACGTTTTGTTACTTGCTCACACCCCCCATTGCCCCGAAAAAGGAGCATTCTGTATAAATAAAAGTAGATAGGCGGCATTTTGCTGCACTCCCTGATTTTGTTTTTATACTGCCAATGCAGAACGAAGACTGATTGGGCTTTCCTGCAAATTTGCACAATTCCTTTTTAAAAAGAGCTTAAAACTCAGACCAAATCCACATCAAACAGTAAAACTAGGCAGTGCTGATCAAGTATAAACCAAGATTCTGTGACTGTATTGTCTATTTCTTGCCCAAAATGTCTTTGGAAATATATTTTAATGCACTGTATGGCTTTAAAATGGGAATTTGTCAACAGGAAATGGGCATATTACTGTTTCCTGTATTGTAAAAATGGAGGCTATAAAACCTGAGATTAAATGGTAAAACTAAGCAGTGCTGTTCAAATATGAGCCAAGATCTTGTTACTTAGTCCCCTGTTTCTCTCCCAAAATGTTTTTCACTGCAAATCGATATTGATTGTTATCACCCCACTGACATACTGTGTTCTATTTCAATATGGACAAGCTCGCATTACGTCACCAACCAGAGGCGCATTTATTAATTTGGTGTGGGGCAGAGCTTTCTGGTAGTTGGAGGTTTCCTACCTCTAGAGAAAAAGCAAATGCCACAGCCCTTTTTCTCTGATTTCTCTGGTCACGTGGCACCAATTTCAAAAGCATTCACCTCTTTCTACTTGACTGACAGCCCAGTTTTATAGAATGGCCATCTTTCCAGCAGTAAAACACTTTAAAACACTACAAATTCCAATTTACAAGAAAAAATGGTTTGAACACATTTCCTGTAATAATGAGAAAGACTTCAAGACGAAGGTTAAAAAATGTAATATAAACGACACATATTGATCAGTGGATCTTTCTTCCCCTTCTATTCAGGTGTCCAGTTCACTTTCCACACCTTCCACCTCGAGAGCCCTCACGACCATTTGCTGGTGACAGAGAACGGCAGCTTCTCTCAGCCTCTGTGGAGACTGACGGGCTCAACACTGCCTCCACCTCTCAGCGCAGGCCTGTTTGGAAACTACACGGCTCAGATCCGCTTTCTCTCTGACTTCTCCGTTTCCTACGAGGGATTCAACATCACTTTCTCCGGTAAGATTAGATATAGTTATTTGAAATACTGAGAGATGAAAAGGGAAATAGCTGAAAGTGCTGGTGATGGCACTGAACCATGCTAATCGTTTACAAGAGACTGAGACCAAGAGGTTGGAAAGAAATGTTAGAACATTAAGCACTCAAGGTTCATGTTGAGAGTGGATGTCTCAGGCTCCTGAGTGTGGATCAGAGTCTTGCCTTGACCTTTTCATTAGTCTGCTTCGATAGGTTATTGACACAAACAGCAAAGCTCAGTTAGGAGGAGGCCGCCATAAACAAGTAGCAAATGATTTTATAAGTATGTGTCCCAGAAATATGTAATTACAGCCACTCCAGAGTGAATAATGAAATGGTTAACATCAAGAGAATTGATTAATTTTAAATTAACCAATTAGGATGGAGCACAGATGGCCCTTTACCCACTGAGAGCATCATTTCATCTCCTTTTGCTCTCACAGCATCCCTTGATTTGAACAGCAAGACAAGGTGAAGGGATCTCACAGAAGCTAATAGACTGACAGTTTGAAATACTGAATACCGCCTATTCAAAACATATTTAGCTTTACAGGAAGGATGTCAAATGACGGCTGAATGAATGGAAACAAATGTTGAGAAGTACAACTTGGCCCCTCAAAAGCACATGATGGTTATTGATATTAATAAATGACATGTCGTGCCATGTGGTTAGGATGTTATCTGGGACTTTAAGGGCATTCAATTCATTTAAGCACCCCTTACGTTTTATCAGTAAGAAGAAGTTCTCAACCCTTCAGAGCATGCCAGAAGTCTTAATAATCATTTTAATCTACACTTTAACACATTTGTTTTTCCAGAGTATGATTTGGAGCCATGTGAGGATCCTGGCATCCCACCCTACAGTACTAGAAAGGGACTACAGTACGGAGTGGGTGACGCCCTCATCTTCTCCTGTTTCCCGGGTTACCGACTCGAGGGTCCGGCGAGGGTGATTTGCTTGGGGGGCAGGAGGCGGGTGTGGAGTTCCCCTCTGCCAAGGTGTGTTGGTAGGTGGTCACATGCTTTATTTTGGCTTTTGTCTCTCCCCCTCTACCCCCCCCCCCCCCCCCACCCCCCCCGCCCCCCCGCACACTCGCTCTCCCTCACTACAAAACTCGCGTTGCGGACAGGGGAGTGGGCTGCGGGTGGATGGGGTGGGAGTCCTTATACTGATACAGCGTCCAACTCCCATCCTATCCCTAGTTCCATCCCTGTTGCTTACCCTTTTACATCGATGTCGATTCTGTGTTGTTACGACCTCCGCTGCTGCTATAAAGGCGATCCCCCCCCCCCCCCCCCCCCCCCCCCCACAATGCCATGTTTCCACACTAGCCCTGTCACGTACACCCACCCATGAAGAAATGTACAAAACTGTCAGTCATGTTTGAAGACGAGGCATTTCCCTTTCAATTCTCTTCATTATCATCTTGCTATCCACCCACGTTTTGTCTCCTCATTGGATAGCTTCCCAGAAACAGCCTTTTTGACTTTGTCCAAATAATATAGAGCAGCAGCTCCAATGAGGATGACATTAAAGCGCTGAAATGTGTTAATTATTGATGTTGCTCGTTGCTAAAACCTGGGAGCTATGACAAGTCAGACTGCAAAGATTTAGGTCAGTGTGTTGATTCTATGATGCTCCAAACCTTAAAGGAATAGAGAGATCTTTTGAAGTGGGGTTGTACGAGGTATTTGTCCATACTCAGTGAATATACTACAGTAGATTCCGTTCTGCTGCTGCAACTTTAGGGAAGTAGGTAGGAGTACCACCACAGAAGCTAAGCAATGTACTGCTGTGAATTGTAGGAGCAGTAAAATGTATTTTAGCCACTTAAAAAAAAAGCGTATGCTATATTTAGAATATAACGGCCCTTTTCAATAGGGAACTGAAGCTATGCTCTCTTCAAAGCCACCAGCCTCCTTTGAAAAAAAAAAAAATTAGTTTTACCTTACAGAACACAGGAGTTGCTGATCCAGTGCTGCCTCAAGCGGATGTTTTGTTCGGACTATCAAAGTCACACAATAACAAGAACAGACTACCCGATCAAGTTACAGGTGGAAAAGCAACTCCCATATTCTGCGAGGTAAAGTTACTGTTTCTGTCAAAGGAGTGTGGTGGCATCAGAGAACATAGATAGACCTACCACCTTCTCTTCCCTGTTGGAAAGGGCTGTCTGATGGCAAAGTAAACCAGTGAAATTGCTTTCAGACCTAGAGTTGTCTTGCTTTGGTCTGAATCAGGGACTAATTTTGTAACGAAGTTGCATAATTGACTAGAGCATTTACAAGCAGACCAGATCAAATGTCTTGTGCGAGAAAGCTGCTCTTGATTGGTCAGAATTTCTATACTTCTATATAGACTATATTGCTGTCATTGTTCATTTTAGTCAAACCATACAGTTTGAAAACGAGGCGCGGCTCCAACTAGAAAACAATGTTTTGATGCATTGGATGTGCTGAATGTGCATATTAAGGCAGTACAGGAGGA